ATATGTACACACAAACACACGCACACGTGCACACATACACAGACGCAGACACGTATACAAGCACAGGTATATTTAATCATACACACACACACAGATACACATAAAAACACACGTGTACGTGTACACACGTATACACACACACACACACACACACACATATATATATATATATATATATCTGTATATATCAACACAGAAATCTATATATATATATATATATATATATATACCGTAAAATTTATACACATTGCAGCATCTACAAGTGATCTGCTACAGTTGATGCATTTTAAACTGTACACTACAGACTAGTAGTACTATATCCATGATAGATATGGATAGAAATAAGACTGAGACATACGGTGAACATTACAACTGGTGGTCACAAAGGACAACGCTACCCTCTGAAAGCGGTACTGCGTTCTACAACCAACGCAGAGTTGGGAATCGTTCTAAAGATGCCAATACACACTAACCTTGAGTATTCTTAGAGTCCGTCGATCTCGATAGCATACGTGAGGTGCTACGCCGTTGCTGTAGAAGAAGGCATCTTTGATCTTGACAAGGAATCCGGAACCTTTGGCCGATACCGTTCGACGTGATACTACGTGTACTATAACAACTTGTCGCTATGGAGATAGGTTTAACATCAGGATTGATATGGGATCGAAATCTGCTCATAGTCAAGGCCAATCCACGAGCGGTAGTGTTAGCACATCTTGTATTCAACATAACGAGAGAACTTGCAGTTTACATTCTCTCTCTCTACTTTTTATAAAAACACACAAAATAAAAAAAGAGCGAGGAGGACGGGTCACTTCAAGGGTTTCGGGAATCAGCGAGAGTTATTTATATTTTATTGTGACTTGCTGCGCATATAGAGTTATAGACTCCTAAAACTGGAGCTGTGTATAAAGATTAGCAGGCTACTTATGTTTTCTGTACATACGCGTCATCATTGTCCCATCTATTCATTCATCTGATTACATATCAGCAATTCATCATCCGAGAGAATGAGCATTATGAGATCATGAAGGCTTTTCTACATAAAACCTTGACAATTAGACGCGCCGATTCGTCTGACCCGAGTTGGTGGGGTTTTAGCTACAAAACAACTGCATCGATAGAAAAACTGCCTATTTGATATGGAGGTGGTGTTTTTGGTTGCTGTAGAACACGCTCGTCGATCTATCAGCTCTATACTAAAGCACGACTGGCATCCGAGAATGGGCACGTAGTATTACTTCTGGAGACACACGCACGTTCGCCAACTTTATACAACCGAGCCGTTCAATCGGCTTCCCAGCACGGGACTTGCTCAAGTACTTGAATTGTATGTTGTTGTTGTAGAACACGCGTGTCGATCCGTTAGTATTTAACAACCATGCTATTCGACGGGCTTATGAGAACGGACAGGTAGAAGTGGTGAATGTTTCGGTTTGTGCCATATTCCTGACCAGTGTTTGATGCGTGCAGCGACGGCAGCTATGTCATACAGTCGTCTGTTTAGGATATGTGGCTTAACCTCAATAATAATTCGACCGTCAGCTCTATCTATACAATTGATTCATTAGATCGGCATCCCATCGTGGGCCTGTGGATGAAGTGAAGTTGCTGTTGCACAACACGCGCTTATATGCGTTCGAACAGACAAGCATCGGCATAGTCACGTGGAAGCGGTATCGTTGTTGCTGCAGAACGGGCCTCTCGATCCGTCAGCTTATGAAAAGCAGGCAATTTGAGGGATGGGTATGTGACAGTGGTAGGCGCCTTATCGGCCCTTCCGCCGACAACAAAATTACTTTTCGATGGGCAAACGGTAAGAGGCATGTGGCATTGTGCATGTGGCAATGTGCATGTGGCAATGGGTATGTGGATGTGTAGAAGTTGCTTCCTCAGGATCCCCGCCGGAAAGTTCATTTGCTCGCAATGAGCAATATATTGCGACGGGTCCTGTGGAGGTCAAAGCACTGTCACCGCATTGATTCTTCAGCTGGCGATCACTGTGCTCTTGAACGCACTTTCAGTTTCATACAACATCGCTTTATTCAGAATCGAGGATGCCTCGCGTGTATCGCCTACCCTGTTGACCTTCAGGCTCGGATACGATAGTATCAAGGCAGCAGAGATATTAGAGTGCTCCAAACAAGAGTCCCTGAAAAATAAGTTGACGCTACAATTCGACAATGAGAAGTAATGAGAACTTTTTGCCGTTCTCTCGTATGTTTATCTGTACAATCAGCTGAATAATTTGGTATCGAAAAATGGAGCCGATTTCACTCGGACTTCTGAGAATCATATTGGCTTATCATTTCGTACTTCTCACTTTCGGGCATATAATCGACTATCATATTTCTGGACAGATAACGTTCGAGCCTATCATCGACTTTAAACACTTTCGGGCATATAATCGACTGCCGTATTTCTGGACAGATAACGTTCGAGCCTATCATCGACTCTTAACACTTTCGGGCATATAATCGACTATCGTATTTCTGGACAGATAACGTTAGAGCCTATCATCGACTCTCAACACCTTCGGGCATATAATCGACTATTGTATTTCTGGACAGATAACGTTCGAGCCTATCAGCGACTTCAACACTTTCGGGCATATAATCGACTACCGTATTTCTGGACAGATAACGTTCGAGCCTATCATCGACTCTTAACACTTTCGGGCATATAATCGACTGTCGTATTTCTGGACAGATGACGTTCGAGCCTATCATCGACTTTGACCACTTTCGGGCATATAATTGACTATTGTATTTCTGGACAGATAACGTTCGAGCCTATCATCGACTCTTAACACTTTCGGGCATATCGTCGACTATAGTATTTCCGGACAGATATCGTTCGAGCGTATCATCGACCCTTAAAACTTTCGGGTGTATCATCGACTATCGTATGTCTGGACATATATCGTTCAGGCCTATCATCGACTCTTAACACTTTCGGTCGAGTCATCACCGTTACATTTGATATCACTCAGGGTGGTGATGAAGGATCCACTAACATTTAAAACAAATTATAATTGGGTTTCCCGATCATAGATACCTGACGACAGGATCATACACAGATATGAACTCGTTTCGAGCTTGCAGATAGTGTGGCGAGGAGCGAACACCAGCGGATGCGCATTGCCCGGTAAGAACTAATTTGAACCTCTCACCGTTTGGCGCTGGTATTCACTCGCAATTGCGACTCAAGGCCATATTTAGCGCTTATCAAGAGAAAGGACGCAAAAAACTCGCTAAGAGATACAAAGAACGGGTATAAATCTATATAAATCTTTACTTTTTGAAGTGTCACTCGCTATGTACATGACTATTTCACATTATGCTAATTCCAAAATTTAGTTAACTCTTTTTGTAGATTCAACTACCCGTAAGTCACGTTCACTGTGTCGTCCGCAGAAGGCACGCGATTTCTTCCCGTTGGCTGGCCACCCGAGCTTACCTTGACTAAACCCCTGTTTTGCGCACCAGGCGGCGGACCTCCTTTTTGCGTCTGCGAGACACCTCTATAGTATTGCGGCTGTTGTTGTTGTTGTTGTTGCTGTTGAGGGTAGTTCATTTGCCCTTGTGATCGAGTGCCTCCACCTGACATTCTATGTTGAATTGATTGTCGTTGCGGTTGGTTTCGTTGCTGCATTTGTTGTTGGAAATGTTGTGGCGTGCCTTGCATTCCTCCGCCACCGGGCCCACCTTGCATAGGGCCTCTTTGGCCCTGTCCTTGAGGCAGACTCATGATATTCTGATACTGTTGTACTTGCCGACGTCTCCTCGACTGTTCCTCATCGGCTTCTGCCGAATTCATCTCCGACGCCGGGTTGAGTGACGCCCTTCTAGGCGCTTGTGCACCCGTCCAGAAGTTCTTTTGGGCATTTCGGACACTACCTCCGCGTAGTCCAATCTGAGTAGTGGTATTTGGCCCACGATCGTAGCCGCCTTGTTGTCCTGGAACCATACGCTTGCCATGCGGACCTCGTTGCGTGGAGCCACCAGGACCCGGAAATGCCATAGAATTAGAGTCCAGCCCGGCTGTTAATCCATCCCTACTGCCCGTATTGGCGAAATCAAACTGTCCTGCCGACCCATGCGCTCCAAAGCCTGGCGGCCCTCGGCCTTGATCGGGGAAGGACTGGGTGTCGTGCTGGTGAGGCACGTACATCTGTTCAACAGAACCCACTGTCGCCCGCATGACCTCAGGTGTTCCGACATAATTGACCGGTACGCTCACCGGTGCTGCAGTTCTAAATCCGAAACAATGACCATCAGGGAACAATTCCTTTCGTAGCGAAAGGACGTCAATGGCTGCATCGTGCTTGTCACCCTCCCCCAGTACGGGTAGAGTGCCTCGTCGATCATATGAATCTTTACTAGATTTTCCGATAGTTTGTACCCACTTGTTTAACCATTTTACCTTTGAGGGCGCAGGATATGTCGCACACACTGTCACATTATGGTTCCAGTGCACCCTTCTACTGTTCTCCTCAGACCCTGGTTGTGCCATATGCATTGTCTCCCCCATACTTTTCTGCCTGTTGAGCGCAAGTATATCATGCGACCGATTAAACTCCGATGAGCCCCGTTTGAGGGCCATCATGTTTGCGTTGCGGCTGGCGGTCCTAGCCTGTGTATTATTCTCATTATTATCTTGCCGTGGACGCGGCGCTGGTCGAGGCTTTGCGGCTCCCATATCGAGACCACTGCTATATCTGCGAGTGTCTAAATCTGACTGCTGCTGCCCGGGACCACCACCTTGATCTGGTGCCCAATTTTTTCTACCATCCGGTATGTGCTCACTGGGAGGATTCCTTGGAGAGGGCAGTAGCTGACCATTTTTTTGTTTAGTAGGCCGGCTAGCTTTAGTGGGTTTTATGGAGGGCGAGCTTCGCTTAACGATCATGACCACTTCGCCAAGCTGTTGTCCGCCTGAGTGTGAATCACTCACTTTCTTAGTTAGTGCCTTGTCCATCTTGAATGTGCTTGCGAGTGTATTCGAATTTTTAAGAATATGTGCACACGTAGGTATCTTAAGTGCACCCGAGTAGGAGTATGATTCAAAGCACGGCCAGTGCTTATGGTAACTGGCAGGGCGCAACCGCCTAAGTAAGCAATGTGCGGCGAATAATGTGTATTTTTGAAGTATAGTCGACGTATTTGTACACGGCGAGTTTGTAGCGATACCAATAACTGTCCTCACAGAGATGTCTACAGTCCCTTGACTTCAATCCAGAAAGCAGAGCAAACACGTACTTCTATCAAGCGTGCTCTATTGCTCTGCTATATGAAACTACCGATTGAATTCTATACTATCAATTGGTCGTCTCGAGTAAAGTGCCATTAAGGTGTGTACTGCTTACTTACACTTTCTCCTTTTTAAGTCTCATCTATTTTTCTACGATATACCCTTCTTTAGAATTAGTGCTAGTCTACCTAAACTTATTATCACGCTTCCGCTCAAACTGAAAATAATTCAGATAGTGCGCTGTGAGATGCGTGCACCAACAACAGCGAATTTAAGTGTATAGTATACTACACCCAGACAAAGGAAAATTACCTATCTACTCTATATATTTTTGCTAGTGGCGTGCACAGCGGGTGTACTTTTGATGTATGTTCACACTGATGTCTTGAGTACTGCAACCGACAAGATACCAACTATCGATTAATAATGAACCAGGAGGTTATTGTTTTAAAAAGTTTTAGAAATCTGGAGAGCCGTCGGCCGTCAGCCTCACAATCATACAGTCAGGTTACGAACTAAAAAGTGGAATTCCTGCAGTTTTTATGTGGGTGTATTACTTGGATGTGAATTTATGTTTATCGAAAACGTACTACCAATTGTTGGGTCGAATCTACTATACAGAAATACGTCCGAGTACGTTTTTTCTTTGCATTATATATCACTCAGCCATTGGTGGAAACATTTTACTGAATTTTTTATACAGTTCGTTCAAATAACAATTACACTCTTCTGGTCTCTGGGGAGGGCGGAGGCTGGACTCTGGACTAGCCTTGAGCGGCTGCCTGAGTCCTGAGGCCTGAGGCCTGAGGCCTGAGGCCTATGGTAGTTGTCGGTGAAATCCTCGGGCCAGATCATAGCCTTCTGCTTCATACAAAGGCTATGGCCCGATGAGGCTATCAGCCAAATAGAAAACAATCCGTTTAAATTTTTTCTTCTTCAATATATATAGGCCCGGAGAACATAAAATATTGGACGGAGAAGGGGAGGATTTTTACTATAGAGGTTGACACAGAGGTACCTTGAAAAATCAATCTCATTGGCACTTAGATCGCACAACTTCTTCATTTTGACGAATAATAAACGTATGCTAAATATCATCACGATCGGACTATTGATTTAAAGGTTATGAGCTGTGTCAAACTAGCCACACGTAAGCGTAATATACAAATCCAGCCATACCTAACAGACCTTTCTGGCATTTAGCATACTACTTTAATGGTCTATGGGGGGCTATATGTGTGCGTATACCGAGTCTGGACATGTATTTTGGGCAGGTACCTCATATTAAAAGCAGTAACTTTTGTACCAGTGAGAATATGGAGACTTGTTATGACTGCGACCACTATGCCTGCGACTCTCGACTGCGACTGCTATGCCTGCGACTCTCGACTGCGACAATTAAGTCTGACGCTCTCACAAATGTTTTTATTGTCATACCTACGGAGAGAGTTACAGGGTAACGGAGTGACAGAGTAGTAATAGTATTATTATAAATACCTACCGTGCAACCGACACCTTTTCAAATTAAAGAAAGGGAGAAATATATAAATGGGATATGCCTTTGATAATTATTTGTCATTATTGCATGAGAAAGAGCGATGTGCCACTAATGAACCGGCATGTTGTGGTACTTGAGATTTGTGTAACTAGGTATGTACTATTCATTGTCTGTCGGAAGAATGTATAGGACATAAAATGGTAATTCATAATCATAGCCTTATACTCATAATATATTTTCTATATGTTTCCACCCTTCTCAGATTTGACGATTAAGTATGCAAGGAAAAAAGAAGAGCTTCTGACGTACAGATATGGTATGTTGTATATTCTTTCATATATCATTCCGATTGTTAAATTGATGTCATTCCCTGTCTCACTGGCATATATTATTTGTATTCACTCACAGACTCACTGAACAACATGAACGAAATGCTTTTGGAAATGTATAATGGACTGTTGAAAAAGAACAAGGCAGATCCGTTGGATGTGAAATCAGAGAATGGGAAGGCAGATCCGTTGGATGTGACCTCAGAAAATGGAAGGCCGTTCCGTTGGATGTTAAATCTGAGAATATAAGGCCGTTCCGTTAGATGTGAGATTAGAGAATGTAAGGCCGTTCCATTGGATGTGACATCAGAGGATGGAAAGTGAGAAATTGGAGCATGGCAGATGAGAAATTATAGAATGGAAGATTAGAAATTAGAGCATGGAAGAAGGCCGTTGGATCTGGAATGGAAAGGCATGTGTATCCGCAATTTTGAATCAGTGAGGCCGATGGTTCGCGAGTATAGCTCCCTAGCAAGTACTATATTCGTGTTTCTGTGGCCGGCCGTTGTCCGCGAGTATAGCTTCCTAGCATGTACTATAGTCGGGAGTGGTCAAAAACGTAAACAAAGGAAAAGGGAGAAGGTGGTTATGTGTAGTATACAATAGTGTCGCGTAGTCTGCGATCAGTACTGATTGATATTTGAATAAAATATAAACATAGTACATTAGTCAAGAGTCAGGTACATATTACATTAGTCATGGGTCAGATACATACAAGACGCATGTATAAGACGCACGTATAAGACGCATACAGTAGTCGCATAAATAAGACGCGTGCAATAGTCGCATAAATAGGACGCATGCAATAGTCGCAAAAATAAGACGCATGCAATATTCGCAAATATAAGAGGCTAAAATAATACGCAACACTTACTTGTGGTAGGTCCAGACTTTTTCGTCCATATCCTGGTTTCCGCCATCTCTGTCTTCTTCTGTAAAACTATGTAGTGCCAATTCGGGATGTAGTATACGTGGATAAAAGTAATACCGGCTGCTAGTATAGCGACAAACTCGTCTATTCTATCTATCGACCACCGCACACCCCCAACATTTTTAATTATCGTGCTCAATCGGAGCAGCCGAGATTGTGTCTGCTCAACAGCAGGATCGATATAGTATTGCCAAGAGACTACATCAACACTATACAGGATTAACAAAGCAAGGTTTGCGGGACTGCCCGACCGTACTCCGTCTGTGTGCATAGACTCCCTCCATCGCTTCAAACATGTAAAATTCGGTCTCTCAAGGCGCGAATCCGAGAGACTCATAAATTCCTATCTTTAGAAAAGAAAAAAAGAAGAAAAAAAGAATAAAACTCTTGATGTTCTTAGTTATTGTCTTAACCAATAACTTGCCACTATCGATTTAGCCTTCATCAGACTGGCACATCTGGTTGGCTGATCGGAGGATCAACTAGGTAACGTTAATAGTCCGTAGAAACCTATATTCGGTTGAGCCATCTCGCTACCGAAGTATTCAGATATAAATAAAGTTGGAAAGTAAATATAGTTCTATTAATAGAACTAGACCAATTCTTATATTTTGTATTTTGTTGAGGCCTTTTAATGGCCTCGTCCAAATATCTGATATGTAAATTAGAAAAGGTATTAATTAATAAAACCATCAAAAACCATTTTAGGAAACTTAAGTTCCTCCTGCTATTAAGAGTACATTTAGGAAACTTAAGTTCCTCGTACTATTAAGAGTAAATTTAGGGAACTTGAGTTCCTCGTACTATTAAGAGTACATTAAGGAAACTTACGTTCCTTGTACTATTAAGAGTACGTTTATTTTATACGTACTGCTTAAGAGTACGTTTATAACATAGAGTCTAATGCGGAGGCTCAGCTTATTACACAGCCCCCACCCAGCTTTGAGACCCATGAGAAGCAAGTTGCTCACTCAAGCTGATTATGGGTCAGAAAGCGAGAAAGAAAAAAACGGGTCGAAAACATTAAGTAGCATAACATATAGTTAATGTTTCTCAGGCGGAGTAGTTAAGGGTTCTCGGTTACCTCGTGAGTTTTGGGCTTAGGTCCAGTAGGTCCGTGGTGGTCGACTGGACGTTTCTTACACTTCAGTGTCTTAAGCACATATGAAGGATGAGCATTAAAGCTCGGGATAAATGCTGTAGGCGGATAAGTTTAACTTCCGTTCCTTCAGACGATGGAAACATGCTATCTTTTTCAGCTTGTGACTTATGCAGGCGTTTACACCATTTAGGCTTTTAAATAGTCTTGATTATCAAAAGCATCTGAAGTCAACTCAGCTATTGTACCGTCTATAAAGCGTGTACGATGGTATGTATAGCCTCCCTTATCCGTTC